GCTGGTACCGAGTGGTACCAGTATTTCCGTAAGGGTGAATTGCGTAGACCAGTAATATTGGATGGTGATCATGTCAGTTCGGTTAGTCAGTGATTAATTGGTCATAATTTGCTTTACTTCGTGCAATCCATAGGTACGGTAGCCCATCATTTGCAATGGAACGAGCAGCTTTATCTACCCTATGTTGAAATACTTAAGACTCTGGAAGTGTGTTAGTTGAGGTTGCGCTGAAAAACGCACCTATGGGTTTTCAAACTAGCTACCGTTTTATTCGTGTCTGCCACCGTGTGTAAATCTGCACTTTCCATCTTTATTCTGCTTCAAGACATTCCAGAGTATATCTCTCAGTTGGCACTGATAGGGTCTTTTTTATGGTAGTCAAGCCGAACCGCATATTTACTGTGCGTCTTATAATGACTTCTCTGTCTGCTAGGATCACTCACGAGCGGATCAGTTGAAGTAGCAAGGAGGTCGTCCGATCAACGCATTCATAACTTCGCCCAAGAGCAAACGTTTCCACGCATGTGTTATCAATGTTTTTATTAGCTCCGGAGAAGGTTGTGAAAAAGTGCCTACTGTCGTTCTTCGAATCGGTGGACGTAATAACGCCAGCTCAACACGGCTTTACGAAAGTGTGATCCTGCATCAGCAACTTGATGTACGCAAACCACCAGTGGGTACGAGCTCTTAACAAATGAAAGCCTGTTGAAGTGATGTACCTCGAATTTAGTAAGGCGTTTGACAGAGTGAACCACGAAGTACTCCTTCGTAAACTGAGGACCTACGGACTCCGTGGCACGTTGCTTCAGTGGTTACACGAGTGTACTGTGGGACGAAAGTTTAAAGTGCGGATAATGACTGCTTGGCAGACTAGTTCCCATCGACCAGTGGCGTGCCTCAAGGAACTATACTTGGGCCAGTGTTATTTCTTATTCACATCAACTATCTTCTGCAGCAGCTCCAGTCACCATGTGCCCTGTTTGCATATGATTTGAAAAGCTCATGGTTCATTAAAAACCAAGAAAACTGCGTTCGCCTTCAGCATGACTTAGATCGACTGTCAACGTGGTACACTGAAGTGCAACTCCCTCTTAACGCAAGCAAGTCGGATTTCATCAGTATCACCAGACGTCCAGCCACTCCATTGTGCACTTTGGATGGCCAGTTGCTCCACACTAACACATCTGTCAGAGACTTAGGAGTGCACTTGCGACATGACATGAGATCAATAGAAAATACGGAGCAATTGTACCGTGCTGGACTTCGTATGCTCTGGGCATAACGATGCAGTTTATTTACATATTCCGGAGAAACCGTCCCTCGCCTATTCACCTCGCTCATAAGACGAATCCGTTCATACGGCGCCCCGGCTTACCACCCGATTACCCAGTGGGAAATCGAAAAGCTGGGAAAATGCAGCACATCGCAGCTCGAATGATTCCCAGTCTACCAAAGCTTCCGTATAAAATGCGATGTGAAATGCTCGGGCTCTACATACTATCCTACCACGGAGTAAAGATTACCCTTATTATGACTCACCGATTACAACACTCGAATCTTTTCCCCATAATGCGGCCAATATTTCACCTGCGGGAACCCTGTAACACCCGAGGACACTGTTACAAACTCTGGGTCCAATG